ATATTAACATAAATATTTATTTTTAATTATATTAATTTAAAATATATTATTATTATTATTTGTTTTATAATTGATTATATTAATATAAATTTATCATTAATAAAATTATACTATTTTTATATTTTATAATATTATAATATTATTTTATAATAATATGATATAATATTAAATATTATGATTTATTATGTCAGTAGATTTTTCACCTAGTGTATGGTAAAAATTGATAAAATAGAGGGGAAATTCTTTCAATTTACGATTAAGCCATAGAGGGACCAGAATATAGTAAAGGGAGCTCTTTTTTTTTTTTTTTTACTTGGGCGAGTAAACCCTAGCAACTGCATAACAACATGCTAAAATAGCAACCATCTACAAAATCCTAGCACTGCGGTGACATTATCTTCAGAAACTCTAGATATCAATATTTTTCTCTTGTCTCTGATATATATACAATTAATCAGACACACAAACCCACAACTGTTCAGATGACAAGGAGAATGAAATGAACTGTGTATTTGTGATGAGGTTTCAATGTTCTGAGTAATTGGTAACAGACTCGTTACATCAGAGACTGTAAAATATAATCATAAGTGCCTTTTTGAAAACTTTTTCCAATACCTGCATAAATATTTAAGTTTAATGCACATTACCGCTATGATGAATAATAAATGTTTTGAATAATAATTACGAATCTGATGAATAATTAATGTGCTCTTTTTCTTTCTCTTTGTTCTGTGTGTCTGCAGTGCCCTCCTTCACCTTCACCCCCACAGGTAATCACACCTTCCTCACAGCACATATGCCCAGAATTCCCACAATCCCTAGAGTGTGACGACTTCCTGCCCAGTGGAGTTGGAAAGTGCACGGCAGTATAATGTTTCTCAGCCGTTGTAATGAAGTGTCCCTCAACACTCCCTTCAGTCACGTTCGTTCTGCACAGCAGAACTCCAAACAAATATGACACAGATGAAGTGTGGGAGGCACGGCCTCTCTTTAAAAATACATCTCCCCACAAGAAAGGAACCCCAGTCTGAGTTTACATGGATAATCAAAGAGAACTTCAGTCGCATGGACTTGTCAGCATAAAAAGAAGTAAAAAAATAAAAGACAGAGAGGGAGGAAATGCTTAAAGAGAAGAGTGCTTGACTAAAGAGGGCTGTTAGAACTGGCAGAGCGGCTGATCAAAGCGCCGGCGCCCACCCTAACGCTTCAGACGGGATGGGAAGCTGTGACATCAGAAGTCTCGTGGCCAATTAGACGAAGAGAGCAGCCAGCTAGCGTGAGGATTGAACTCAGATGACTTTTACATACCAGAGAAAGACACTTAGACCCTTTCATTATTTCTCATCTCATGCAATCTTTCTGTAACCGCTGTTGACTCACCTGGTTATGGGAGGATTCGAGGCGCGGGAAGGATTGAGAGAGAGAAGGCTTGTTTTTAGTAGCAAATGCAACCAACAAGCTTTATTTCCACACGTTCACTGGTTTTGAACGAAATTGAGGAGCTTATAAGATATGAAAGAAAATACAAGGTCAACAAAACATGCTTAGATTAGCCTGTTAAAGAAAAAAAAATCTGCCATCATTTATTCACCTACATGTTTTCCAAAACTGTATGACTTTTTTTCTTCTATAGAAGGAATTTTTAGAGAAATGTTCTTTGCCCTTAAGAGGAAGATATTTGTCTCATTACATGTTTTCCATGTTATTTTTCTTCATTAATTGTAATTGATTTTATCTACAGTGGCCTATCAGAGAGGAGGAGAAGCTGTCAGCAGTGCTGGAAGGTGAGATGTTTAAAAAAATACACATTTTGTGATCTGATACCTTAGTTAATATTTATCACAAGCCAACAATGGCCATGCGCAGGGTGTGTACTGTAGTGTAATTGTATTTTATTGACACTAGGGGGCATTTTTGTCTTTGCAAAGACACTTTTGGAGGTTGTGCATTGAGACGGAGCCCTGCAGAACACAGATGAGACAAAAGCCCTCCGCTTCTACCCTGCTAATGCAATAATTTCCAACCAATTCATTCAACTGTTTACACTGGATCATGTGTGCATGTAGGTGCACATGTGCACGTGTCAGCTTTGTCCTCATTTGAATAGTTGCAGACGATACTTAGTGTGTGTCTTTCCCTTTATGTTGTCTTTTGGAGTCCAGCTTTCAATCGAGCAGGTCTTTGCCCTTGCCTAAAGGAAAGGTTTAAGCCTTTTGAAGCTTAAGAGTCTGTTAGAAAAATAAAAGAGAGAGACATACCATGCTGCAGGGATACGGAACGAACTAAGAGAAGAGGAAGCCACATTTACTTTGAAGCATCGTGTTGAAGATTCATTGCTCAAAACTCTTTCTTTGATGTTTTTTTGTGTCTTTGATAAGCGTCCCCGAAAAAAATATTCCCTCAACTCCTTTATTTCCTCAGAAGCATTTTAATGTGACCTTGTTGTATCATGAAAGCTAACTACCTAACATATATCAGTGTTTTAAAATAAATAGCTTTAACTGCAAGATTTGATAGAAACGGTTACTGAGGGCACTGAATGAATTCATATATGCGTTTATCCAGAGCTTCTCCAGCACTTGAGATCACGTTGATTGACTGTGACACCCTGGAATGCGCTGAGAGCTCCGAGCTCTTCCTTTAGCGATGGCTCGGTTCATTCGTGTTTTTCTTTCCCAGGCTGGAGCAGCAATGTTCTCCAGCGCTTGGGTAAGCCACACGGAGATCTAACGGTCACGAGGCTTCGGGGAAACAGTGTCATCAGCCATGAGCAAGTCAAGCAGACGCAATCCATTTAGCACAGATACAGCCTAATGCCCTGAGAGATGCACTGGGATAGAAGGAGATGGGATGGGCATCCTGTTTAAAGCTGAAGTGTGTCATTTATGCGCCACCAAATGGAATAATCTTCCCGCTGCCTGCCATTGGTCAGACAAACTGTTAACCCCGCCCCAAAACTCACACCAATGGTTGTTCCAATGGTGCTGTGTCGGGCCCAAATGATTAGCTGTCCTTATTTATGCCAATAACAGTTCTAAGATAAAACAGAAACAGTACTGAACACAACTGATCATGATCATGCGTGTGCATTTACCATTTCCAAGTTAGTAATAAATCACATAGTGTGTGTTTTCCAGGCCAGGTTTGTTGAATATAGGTGAACCAGCTACCCAGCCCTGGCTCGCGGACACATGGCCGAACAGCTGCTCCAATCACAATGACTGCACCATCAACTGCTGCACCGGCAGCAATGGAAACAGCGACAGCAACCTGGCCACCTACAGCCGCCCAGGTGAGTGTGTGAGCGAGTGTGTGTAGTAGTCAAGTTGTAGTAGCATACAAAGGCATAATGCTACGCTCTATTCAAAGTCACAAGTGAGAAATCCCTTGTTAGCTGATCTCAGACTTTAGCATTTCAGTTTAAAATGCATGGAAGATGATGTGTAAAGGAACAAAATTACAATTATAAGTAGAGATGATTTCACATTTTTTGCATTTACTCATTTAGCAAGTGCTTTTATTCAAAGTGACAAATGAGGAAAGACTGCTTCTGGAAGAGTTTGTTATTTAAATGACGTAAAGAGGTTTTATTATGGTAAGTTTGACTCAGTGACTTGTTTAATTTGATTTAAAGCGTTAACTGTGTAGATTTCCCCCTTATACCACATTGTTTGTGCAACGACATTTTCGTAAATCTTATTGAAGTTTGGGCTTGTTATTTCCACTGAAGTTTCCAACTTGGAAGTAGTAGCGTTCTAGTACTGCTTTTGCTAGTTGAATGGAACGCAGCGCAAGTATCGTGTCCTTCCTTTGACACACAACTCTGTTCGTGATTTGTTGGAACGTGGATGTTTTATGGAAAATAAAAGTGGCCGATATTGAAAAGGCCCCGCAGGCTGTAGTCCAGCTAATCCAATCAGTGTCTGGTTTCCATACCGCTTTTAGAACCTTTTAATGCAGTTTCTCTAAGTGCTCGCTTATTCAGGAAACCAGGAGCCGTTACGGAGGTCAAAATAGACCTGAGAGAGAGAAAAAGAGAGGGTGCGAGGAAAGAGAAGGAGTGATAGAGCACCTCCAGGTGGCTTTATTTCAGGAGTCAGCAAGTTACTTCACAAACAAAAGAACACCAGGTTGACTCGCGAGTCCAAAGAGACACGCACACTGAAAGTGACAAAGTGGTGTTAATATACACAGTCACCCAGATTTCACAAAGCAACTCTTAGTTTGGACAGCGGTGTCACTGTTGGTTCATTTAATGATATTTAAATGTCACTACAAGAGCTTTTTTGTTCTCAGATATCAGCTGCTGCAACTAAGCCGTTGGCTAAGAGTATTTCATTCATAATGGAACCCTTAAATGCATCCAATCCTTTTAGAAAATGTCTTTCTATTGAATTTAAGAAATTAGCTACCATATTCATGGATAGGCCTGAGGATTAGGCTTTGTGTTTGATCAGACCATCCACAGAAACTGTAGATGGAGCTTTTTTAACCCAAAAAGCTTGGCTTTGCCTTTGATATCCATTTATTGGGAGTGTGTTTTCACTAACACTAGATTTTATCCCTGTCGCCTTCATCAAAGCAGGGATGAAGGATAAATGTTGAGTGATTCTCACAGCATGACGTTTTAAAAGCTTGACACCCGTTTGCCTGGTGTGCCAAATACTAAAAAATCTCCAGGATATTAACCGGATCAGTACCCACAGGGCTTCTCTGGAAAGACGACTTAGTTTGTCTCATTCCATAGGATCTTTTATCATTGATACGTCAACCTTTGAAGTGTAGAGCCGTTCCTTCTTATGGAAACACGAGCCATGCTCGAAATCCGTCCAATGGCAGGCCTCGGTATTTACGTGCCAAGCTTCTCGCTCAGATCCCGGGGAGGATTTGAATATTTTATGAGCCGGGGAAAATTGGATCTGTCAGAGGATGGTCTTTTACAGCGTTCCTCGTTTCGGAGGCTTTTGATTCGGACGTGTTGGAACATCCTGCTTGATGAGCTGGGATGCCTTTCTCGCGGCTGCTCGGGAAACTCAAAGTGACACGCTTGGCTTGTGTCGTGGACGAGGGAGAGGCTGTAGAGGAGGAGGAGGATCGTAGTAGAGTGGCAGGGATTTTAATGAAACAAGTGTTATCTTAGTATATGAATTTTAATTTACACATTATCTACCTTTCTGTCTGAAAACATCATTTTCGTTGGTATAAAGCTAATTAGCATATACTTAAACCAACCTAGTGTCTTCTCCCCATGAGTTTCTGTAAATGTTCCCTTATTTTAAAAGCACTTCAGTCTGATCGGTACATCAAAACCTACAATATATCAGACTCCAGGTTTATCCGTAGATCCTAAACACGGATCTTTTGGCTATCAAAATGTCTTACTCCTCTTCTATCGTCCAGCCGACTGCATCGCCAACTACAGCAACCAGATGGACAACAAGGCCAGCAACCTGCTGGCTCCCGACACGGGCCTTTACAGTGACGTGGACCTCTCCAACAAGATCAACGAGATGAAGACCTTCAACAGCCCCAACCTAAAGGATGGCCGTTTCGTGGGGCCTGGCGGTCAGCCTACGCCCTATGCCACCACCCAGCTCATCCAGTCCAGCCTGGCCAACAACAACGTGAACAGCAGCAGCGGCGGAAGTGGAGGAGGAAGTGCCGACCTCAACGAGAAGCAGAGCTGGAAGAGCAGCCAAGGAACACCTCAAAAACAGGCCGACATCAACACGCCACTGCAGTATAACGTCATGGAACAGAACAAACTGAATAAGGGTGAGTTTTGTAGATTTAAAACACTAGATCAAGCTCTTCAAAGAAACCCATGCCATGTTTTTCTCGGTTTACCACAAAGGTGCATCATCAAATTGCTTGTCTTGTTGCTCTATTGTCTCCTCTTATTCAGACCATAATAAAAGGGTTACACGATTTTGAATCTTAATAGCCTCCCTGGCACCTTTACATGTGGCTCTTTCACTTTCTAACACCTTGTCTTTATCCGTCACGGTTGCTCATATTGCGTATATGTGTAATTCAACTCTGCTAGTAAACGTAATCCATATTTATAGTTGTTGTTTTACTGTTTGGATGGGGATGAAGGTAAAGAGGAGGCTGTAAAGCATCGGATGTCTCAGAACAGTGTGAAGCCAGAGATCTTAGATTACTGGACAAATAAGGGAGAATGTAACTCAAGCTCAAAGCTATCCATTATCTGCTGCTTCATATTGTGCCACTAAAAAGGTCATTGTGTTTGCTTTTTGACTCAACTTGCATGAATCTAACTGCGTGTGGGTGTGATATTTCATACTTGGTAGACAATTGAAACCAGTCACCAACAAGTCATAACAGCTTATGACTGAAACCCTTTTGTAACCTTTTACCACTCGACTATCTGATGTTCCACTCTGAAGCGTTCTCGTCTAAAGTGTCTGCTTTTTATAGGAGCTTTCATTCGTCTAGTTCACAAAATAACTTTTTTTCAATTGCTCTGGTATGTGAAGGACTGGGTCATAATGCCTCACCCATATGTATAATAAAAACTAAAACTCAAAATCTCTTGACTGCAACCCCTTAGACCACTATCGAGGTGAGGGGCCCATCTCAGGCACCATCCCCTATAACCAGGCCCAGGACGCCCTTACAGGAGGAACCTACAGCAGCTCTGACAGAGGGAGCAGCACCTCTGGTAAGATATTCATCCATCCATCCATCATATCATTCTAATGTCTATCTATCCATCCATCCATCCATCCATCCATCATATCATTCTAATGTCTATTCATCCATCCATCCATCCATCCAAGTTGTCACACAAACCTAAAGACATAACCTAGTAGACGGTTAGCATGCAATTTACCACATTATTCCATTTTCATTTCCATTATTCCTGAGCCTTTTCATCACTCTAAGAGGCAGTAAATCATATGCAAAACAGGACATTTACAAATCGCTCACTCATTGTTGAGAACCTCAGGGAACAAAGAGAAACATTTATGTCCGAAACAAAAGGAGGCTATTCTTCCTCACGATTTCTGAGGTGCAAGAGCGCATTTCTTAAATGGCAGCAACAATCTCTCTCAGTCCTAATTCCTTTAGTTAAAACCATGTTCTCTGCAGATTTCTAAGGTCTGACGCATTTTCCCGGGATGTTTCTGATTGGGAGGATATCCCCCTCCCTTTTTGCGATTCGCCACACCGTCATTAATTACTCCGGCGTTCATCCATCCGACTCAAAGAAAGGGGGGATAATGTTGTCAGAAAGCCGGTGTTTGTTGCAGGACAAAGATAAATGAGGCCCATTCTGCGTTGTATGCAATGCTGCCGGCGTAATGCATCGTATCTATTTTTATATTGTATTTGAAGTTCAGGTAATTAAAGAGAGGGTCTGAGTGCGTGGAGGTCCTCACAGCTCATTGGCTCTGAATTTTAATTCCTTTTTGTTAATTGGCCTCCAATGCTTCTCTTTTTTTTTCTCTGTCTCTACCTCTCCTCTGGGCAATGAAGAGTGTTAGTTTTGAAAAATGAGTCATTTTTTGATGGAGAGCGCAACGTTAATTATAAATAGAGAGATAATGCACTTATGTATAATGCATTTATGATAATGCATTTTACACTGCATAAATTATGGTGTGGGTGTCATTAATGTTGCTTCTCCTGAGTGTAAAAGTGCCATTTGTTTCACACATGCATCAAGCTCAGCAAACAAACCAACAGAAAAAGAAATGAACAAGAGCTTATTAAAACATTTTAGTTTGCAATCAAATTAATTTATGAGTTCAGATGGCATTGTGGGCTAGGAGTTGATATAGCTCTGTTTGTATCACACTGAATGTGTATTTTTGTTTATTTTTTTTACTTTACAGGAAGTCAAGGACAGAAAAAAGGTGGGCGAACAACTAAACAGGCCAAACAGAACACAATGAATTGGACCGAACTGTTGCCTCCTCCTCCGGTTAATCCACCACCGTGTCAGGAATACACCCTTGCGATGGACGACAGGTAAGATCAACACACACAGGTTTTCACTTTTCACACATGCTTATAAATGCACATCTATTAGAAATTACATTCATAGTTTATGTATTTCCTATGTTTTAACCATTATAATAATATTATTTACATATAGCATATTATATTATTAATTTATATTACTTTCAAATTATATATATATAGTATAAATAAGCTTTCCATTGATATATGGTTTGTTAGGATAGGACAATATTTGGCCGAGATACAACTATTTGAAAATCTGGAATCTGAGGGTGCAAAAAAATCTAAATATTGAGAAAATCGCCTTTAAAGCTGTCCAAATGAAGTTCTTAGCAATGCATATTACTAATCAAAAATAAAGTTTTGATATATTTATGGTAAGAAATTTACAAAACATCTTCATGGAACATGATCTTTACTAAAT